ATTCAATTACCAGTCCTTCATTACCTTAAACGAAATAGGATGAATACATCTCGCATATCTGATTTACTGCTAGCCTCGTAGCCCTACTTATAAAAGAAAAATTCGTTCCACTTGACTACTATAGTAATTCTGTGACTCGATATACATACACGAAAAATATTACTCATAATTTTATTTACTCTAAAAATTCCGAATTATTCTGCCTATTAGTTGATGGCCAAACGAGACGAATTGAAAAAGAAGTTACGTGTTATTTTCGAGGATGAAGTTGGAGTCGATATGGGGGGACTGACTAAGGAGTGGTTTTTACTGCTAACTCATGACCTTTTCTCCAACCCTGAGTCTCGCCTCTTCCGTACCGACTCGACCTCTCAGACAGCTTGGTTTATCATCCAACCTGATCGCACTCTGGAGCAGTTAAAGGTGGTCATATCTTTTCAAATCTCTAGCTCATGAATATCCTGGTTAAATAAAACACTTAGTTTCATTTACTTGTACTTGTAGTACTGATATCGATTCCAAGTCGAGTGTTTTTTTATATAATGGCATTTTAATCCTTTTTATATTTCGCTCTGTTTTTTTATAAAAGAGTTTTCATGGCAAAACTAAAGGTCACTTTATAAAAACCCTAAATAATCGTTTAATAAGGTTTAAATAACATTATTGACTGACCATTGCCGACAGTCTGTTTCAAAGTTCTCATGCTTAATTGATAAGGCAAAGGCGTTCGTCTCCAGAATGTTCCGTGCACTGCTTCCTGTACATTACCACTGTCGTTCCTCCCTTATCTGCCTAAGGAACTATTTGCTCATTCTTTTTTTATTTTTTGCTTCTAATAGTTAATCTAATCCTGTTTATCGGCTCTTGATGAGCCAGGATTCCTAATATTATTTCCATTTTCATCTCCTGCTTTGTCTCTTCCGGATATTTATCCGATATGTAAACAACTTCCATATTTATATAATCTAGAACGTTTCCTTCGTGACCTAGGCAAAAATTTAGCCCCTTCTCCAGGAAATCCATGATTTCAGAATCCAGAGGGATTGAGGATAGCTTTACTACCCAATCCCTATCGTTGTTCGTAGCAGTTGATGCCACCAATGCAGAACTATCAAAATTTGTACGGAGTTGCTTGATCCTGCGCTGTCTTATTACCCCATATCTAAACAATTTCTTGTCATTCTGCTTATCTATCAAATCCCGGACCCTCTGTGACTTCTAGTCAGTCATATACTGGAGTTTTTGATAATCCTCCGGAGTGAGAACTCTGCCAGCAAGGGGTGTGAATATGTCTCAGGAAATCCGTTCAAAATCACGCACCCGAACCACGTCTAAATAAGCAATTGAGAAATTGTGATCGTGGAGGGGTGATACGAGGACATAGGATAGGTGAATGCCCCAGGACAGGAGATATACCAAAATTGGTTAGCAGAAAATTCGTCAAAGTGTGATGCTAAGAATGGCAAGCCTCTCTGACCATGCCGGAAAAATGCCTGAGAATGAATCAAGTTCACGGTCTGGCGCTCGAAATGATCATGTATACTATGGACTCCGGACAAGGTGCGTTCCTCTAGGTCTTCCTCCCAATATTACCAAGTTGCGAAAACAAGTTCAAACCACTACTATACAACGAAAGGAGACCGCGACAACACAAGAGACCACATCATCATTTTCTTCAAACCTTCGACCAATACATCTTATTGTTAGACGATCATAGCATATGCTAAAGTTGATAGGTCTTATAAACACATGAAACCTTAACTTAGAAATATTTTATTTATTCATGGCCGGATTCTAGCCTTTTAACGTAAATAATATTAATTTAATGTTCAGAATAAGTATGTTTCAAGGATTCTTGTTAAAAAATTTTGTTTTGCCCACTTCATCAAAAAGCTGTTTTATTTATTTTTAATACAGGAAATTCACCTGGCAGGAGTCCTAATGGGCCTTGCCGTCTATAATGGAGTAAACCTCGATGTTCATTTTCCAAGCGTCTGCTATCGAAAGCTTTTGAGCCCAGTTGATTTGCCTACTGTGTCCCAAAATCTCCGCCATACTTGGGGCCGAATCGGATTCTGTTCCGTCGATCTGAATGACATAAAGTCTATCAATCCGGTAGAAAATATTTACTATTTTGATTAATTCCAGGCTGTCTTATGCTTTATTCTTGCGTTCTGAGTTTGTCTTAATCTACTCAAATTAATGAAATGCGCCTTTTTTGCTCTTATTAGAGTTATGCTGGTAAAACCCAATAGAAAAACTTCACAAATGCCATGGCAATCTTTGAAAAATGGAAAATCGGGAGAGAAACATGCATTCTCAAGCTCGAATTGCATTCACTGCTTCAAACTTGGGTCCAATTACTCTTTGATGCTTTGGCATTTTTTACCGAAATCTACGTCTCTCTTAAAGACCGTGTGTGAACACCCAGTTATCACAGAGGAGCTTATTAATTAACAAAATAATGGTTCTAACTTCACTCACACTCGTCCAACATGCATGATTATGCCCATCAACCTAACCAGACGTACTAGATTATGAAGCCCCAGTAATACCTTTAAACCTTAATGATTTTATACTGAGAGGTTAGGACAGGCAGTTTCGTAACCTAACTTATACATTTACAAGCTTACATCTCATTATCTCAACCATACTTGCTTACGAATTCACGCAGTCTCTGTCAGGGATTTTTCTTGGGTCATTAAGCCTTGATGACCAAAGCCCGACATTCGCCTTATTTAAGCACTCTGATTTAAGGCCGATATTGTGTATAGACGTTAACACATACACTTGCAAAAGTAACAAGACCAATAAGGAGAAATAATTAGCCAAACCATTTTATATCTATCTAGGTCTTTATTTTACTTAATTGAATCTATATAAGGGGTAAGATAGAGCCGGATAGTCTTCTTTATCTAGTGTTATCGTGAAACTTTTACAAGAATGAGTTTCAGCTCTGATAACGTCGACCATATGATGATCACTCTCGTGCCAGACTAATTTATGCCACAGTTATCAAATTTTAGAACTTTTCATCGTTTGACCACACTAATCCATTAGCTATGCTTAGTTCTTGGTGTCTAATAATTTTGTTTAGGTTAAAGCTTGATAATATATTTTAAAAATCGGATAGCTGTCCCAGACTTATAATAGAATGTACAATAAATAACCAGAATATTGGAGTGAATCGAACACTTTGTGATAACTTGATTAAATTGATCCCCTCCAAAGTTGCTGACCAACTTAGGTTCTATGTCAGTTGGATGATTAGTTATCTTCTCAATTAAAAAGTGTTGGAAATTAAAAGACATGATTTATTTCATATTTTCACATGTTAAAAGGGTCCAAAACAATATTAATCGAATACGGGATTTATAAATAGGGTGATTATGCTGTAAAGCAGGAAGATCAGTATTGTAAGAAGAATGTCATTGGATTTTTTATCTCGTATTTAAAGTGGGCTGGAAGAGACTCGCAAGTTAGAATCATCGGAAACCGAAAGGAGTTTAACCATGTAATTATGACCTGATATGAGCACAACAGCTCTTATAGTAGTGTCCTTAGGCCTTAATTATTCAGTTGGGTTTTATTATACCCTTTGCTAACAGACATTCTCAAAATGTGAAGCAATTCTCCAAAAAATTCATCAAAACTAGTCTACGATTGGTAGCTACCTACACTTCCACCTATTCCTTATTACTTAATCTCTTTATTTTAGTGAAGGAAATTGTGGAGCAGATTAGTTAAAGCTGAAGTTAGCTTGGCTCACCGTTTGATGAATTTAGCTAATGAATTGTTTTTGTTTTTAAAAATGCGGATTAAATGACAGAAAAATAGCATTGTTAGGGGGACCTTCATTTCGAATGAAAGTACATGATGAAGAGATTCGTTTGTCGTTCTCAC